GGCTTCTGCCGCCCCTCAAAGCCATTTTATCTCTAGACAAATACATTTATTTTATAATTATTAAGGTTATCTACATTCTTAATGACGAAAAATGCAACTCAACATGCAATTTGAAAAAGAAAATCGTATTCTAAAAAAACAGGAGATTCATGTAGAAAAACAGTAGAACAGGAGAAATTTCAGAAAAACAGGACATCTCCTGTAAAATCTGGAGACCTGGCAACACTGGTTGTATGGTTTATGAGAATAGATAGATACACTGCAACCTTTAAGATGACTCTCAATCCCATAATAGTATACCTTCTTAGAGTGAATTGTAAATAAATACGTTTATTTGTATAAACTTATCTCAAACTAGCTTTTGCCCGCTTCGCTCGCGTTATATTAGATTTAGACTGAATAAATTAATTAATAAATAATTTTTATTAGAATGAATAATTACTAAGCAATATTTTAACCAAATGGTATTTAAAGCAGTATTTTAAGCAAATGGTATTTAAAGCAATATTTTAGCCAAATGATATTTAAAGCAATATGTACTTTTATTATTCATATTTAATCATTCAATGTAATTTTCAAAATCTCGGACAATTTACTGATCCAGACAAAGTTCGTATAGTCTAAAAGTCCGCACATGTCCGGACTAATCCGGACAGATGGTAACTGTAGTCGTGGCCCAATCTCCCTATTCTATCCATAGGGAAGGCCTGTGCCCCAGCAGTGGGGGCATTAATTGGCTGATAATTGACGATGATGAAATGAATGTCAAACTCAGTAAATAAAAAAAAACTCTACAAAACTTCTTGGATTAACCTCGCGATCTTGGTGCTCCGTACAAACTCTGAACCACTACCCCTTCAGGGGGTGAGTTATGAAAAATCCTTTCTTGGATAACATCATAAATTAATAAATATTTCCAACACTCACACCAATTAGCCTAGCCCCAAAGTAAGCACTATAAGGCTTGTGTTATGGGATACTAGGGAACGGATAGAATACATATACTGTACGTATATATAAGTACTAGCAAACCAGTGAACCAAATGTTTACCAAAACCTGATTTCTCGAAAACCGGAAGTGCTACGTTACTCAAAACCGGTTTGTAGTCTTATCAGACTATTCTTAACTTATAACTTAAATATTCTCTTTATCTATCTCTTACGGTTTGGCCGCTGAAACAGCACCACAGACGGACGGACTTGTCTAATAGATAAGAGATATTTATATAGAAATACATATTAAACATCCATAACTAGAGAACAAATGCTCGTATTCATCACACAAACATCTGCCCTCACCGGGATTCGAACCCGGGATCCATGCCTAGAGAACAAATGCTCGTATTCATCACACAAACATCTGCCCTCGCCGGGATTCGAACCCTCTTGAGTCGGCGACAGCCCGGCGTACAAACCACTCGGCCATGGAGGTCGTCATAATTAGGGATGCAAAGTCTTTTGAAATATCGATATTTATATCGAAGTCAGGAAAATATCGATATCCGATATATCGACCATTTTAACTCGATATTATCGATATATCGATATTTTTTCCTTTTTATTTTTTATTGACATTAGAATACGGGGTAAATGTGACACATTCATATGTTTGTTGGCGAGTTTCTCGCAAAATGCATTGAGGCAGCTTTTTCGTTAAACACGCTTGATGAAATCGCGCCAAGAAGATTTTTTTTATTGGCTCGCACGGTTTGTGTTTCAGCCACGACAGGAAACCAAAAAAATATAATTATTATCCTGATCAGATCAATCACATTCGTTAGCACGAATGCGCTAACCCGCATATGTGGGACGACATTTGCGAATGCCTTCGCTCAGTTTTCCCTACATTCGTGCTTTTCCAAGTTATGTCGGTTTTTTAGCGCACATCAAATACGCAAATTGCTTAGTCTCCCACACATCAGGGGCGTGCCCATGGCTTCGAAATAGGGTAAGCCCAAAGCTTCCAAAATTACTATACCTATCTTACTTTCTTGACTTGGCGAGCTTAAAAAATTTACGATTTGTATAAGATTCTTAATTTATTTTGTGTTATATTACAATGATATTAAATTTAAATTAATCAGTAGTTGACAATCATCTAAAGAGAGGCAAGGATTTTATATAAGTGCATGAGTTACCATTAGGTATACGATTATACCTATATACGTTGGTGTCGATTCTGGCATGATTATCTAAACTTAAAACTAAATTTAACATCAGTCTCTCCTTTTCTTTCTGTATAAAGAATGACAAGGATACACTATTGTCAAATTTAATTTTAGGTTTAGAGAATCACGCCAGAATCCACACCAGTTTAGTATCTTTCTTGGGGTTCAAGATTTTTTAATACATCTATAAGCTCTTGCGATTTCAAAGCAATAGTTATTTCGCTATTATTCAATTTAGATAGTCATAGCAGGTAAATTAATTGATATTATTGTGTTCAAATTTAGTCTACAAAATATCGATATTATGGAATTTCCGATATCGATATTATCGATATCAGTGAATTTTATACATCGATATAAATATCGATATTTTGGTCTCGATATTATCGATATCAGTGAATTTTATACATCGATATAAATATCGATATTTTGGTCTCGATATTATCGATATTCCGATATATCGTTGCAACCCTAGTCATAATAGCTATATGTGTGGCAAATTTCAGCACAATCCGTTTAGTGGTTTTAACTGTGCGGTGAAAGATCAGTCAACCAGTACCGGTTGCCTTTTCTTTAAACAGATAAAAGAACTGCTAGTGCTTCGGAAGGCATGTTAAGCCGCTGGTCACGGCTGCATCTGCAGTCGTTAGCACCGGGCCCGCGCGGTGGGTCATGGCCCAATCTCCCAGTTCCATCTATAGGGAAGGCCTTTGCCCCAGCAGTGAGGACATTAATATGCTAATGATGATGATGATGATGACGAAAATCTGCTCACATTAAATTCGTTAAAATTCCGTTTTACAAGAAACCATGTTTTGATTGCGTAATAGGTACATGATGTTGTCAGCTTTTACTTTTATGCAACAACAAAAATGTAGTCATTTATCTACACACATCAAAAGTGTCTAGGGATCAACATATATTTTTGCAATAACTTTTCTCCTGATTGATATTAATTAAAATTTTCTTTAAGGATTCATCAAATAAAGTGTTTTCGTTTGTCACAGTAACGATAAACCAAGTCACCTTTGCATTAATAAAGAAATTTGCCATTTTCCTAATAAAGGGATTTTTGACATTTGAACCACTAACACAAAAGTTCGAAAAAAAGACTGAAATAACAGTTTTCTCTAAAATTTTATTGGGTAACTTAAACAATTAATAATCCGTATTTCTACCGCGAACACTAACAACACAAGAACATCGGTTTGGCATACTCAAAATGAGTTCATCCAAATCACGCTGTGGAATGGCCGCCCATGTTCGTTGCAACAACAAAAAAAGGTCTTCTTGCGACTGGATACCCTCCATATTCGGCAGAGCTCTTCTCTGTAGCATATCCCATGCATGCTCAATCGGGTTCAAGTCTGGCGACTGAGCAGGCCAGGGCAGGACATTGATGTTAGCTGCGGCGAGAGTCTGTCTTACAACTCTTGCGGTGTGCGGTCGTGCATTATCATGCATTAACTGAAATAAGGGACCGATTTGCACTTGTAGAGGAACGATGACGTCTGATACAATCGTCTCAGCATAAATTTGAGCGTTGAGGTTGCCTCTGATCCAAATCAACTCAGTTCTTCCGCCGATCCAAATACCCGCCCATACCATGATGGTTCCACCACTATAAGGATGGACTTCCTGGCAGGATTTTAATCGCTGTTGGCGTCCAGGGGTTCTCCAGTGTCGTATACGTCTTGTATCCGGTCTCATACCAAAACGAGACTCATCAGAAAAGCACACGAAACGCCATTGTTCTTCTGCCCAATTTCTGTGTTCAAGAGCCCATTGATATCGAATCCTACGATTGTGCATTGCTATAGGTGGTACCCGTAGCGGTCTTCGGGAATGAAGGTTCACTTCATGCAAGCGGTTTCTGACTGTTTGGTCGCTAATTAAGTTCCCTGAAGAGTGATGAAGCCTCACGGCTAACATCATGGCGGTTATTGTTGGAGCTCTTCGAGTTAAGATTTGAATGTATCGGTCTTGTCTCCGTGTGGTGCAGCGATACCGTCCTCCATGGCGCTCAGCCACGGTACCAGTGCTTCGGTATCGTGTCCAAAGTCGACTGATAACACTCTGACTTGTATTCAGAGCTAAAGCCACAGTACGTTGCCGGGAACCAGCTTCTATCATTCCCACGGCTCTGAGCATTTCTTCCCTGCTTAAATGACGTCGCCGCTCCATAATAACGTTGGTTTTAATCAGTAGTAGGGAAACAGTAGCACTAATAATGTCTTCAATGCGTTGTATGTTTTTATAGGGAAAATATTGACAGCTGATTTTCATCTTTTACTCGAATTTGATTCACAGTTCCTGATTCAAATTATGAAATGCACCAAAAAGGATCCATATAAATTTATAAAATCATAAATTTATTACAAAGCCACATCTCAATCTCAAGAAATCCGCATAAAAATGCTTGATCCCTAGACACTTTTGATGTGTGTATGTTATAAGATTTTTATGCTAATAAAATTCTCATTAATTTGTTTTTGCAGCCAATTTAATTAAGATTAAGTGGGTAATTTTACTTACCAGCTGAATAGGAAATCGAAAGCATCGAATGTAGAAGTATTTTCCTGTTTTATCTTTTTTTTCTTAGTCTGAATATTTATGCAGTGAAGCAGGTTTTCTACGGCCCGTATTACAGAATGACAACTAAGTGTTGATCTTTACTTGAGAACAGTTAGAAAGGGATGTCTCTATGTGCTATATATAGCGACATCCCTTTCTATCTATGCCCAAGACTAGATTCATTACTGAGAATCTTTCTATAATACGGGCCTAAGATTTTAGAAAAATGAGAAGAAAGAACCTATTTTTATAGTATTTTTAATTGTCGAATGCCATTAAATAAGTACAAGCAATGTAAGCGACTGAGTAGCTAGATCTAGATGTACGTACTAAATTTATTTATACATCGTCTTCAAGAGAGCGAAATATGACCACGATCTGCTTAGTATCTGTGAATGAAAAAATACTTATTGTTATACATATTTTTATATTTTTTAAGCATTTAACTGCTAGATGTTTAAATCTAAAGAAAACTTTATTAGATAAAATTCCACGAGGACCAGGTAGCAGACGGGACTCGAACCCGCACCCTTCGCTATCCGGGCGAATGCAATGACCATTATATTTTATATCTGTATATATGTAAGACTTTAAGGTATGTATCTATGGGCCTACGTTGCCTGACTATAAATTAATAAATAAAAAAATATATATGCCATCGCGGCCCTGATGGCCATAGTTTTCTAGTAAACTTTTCTTTAGATTTAAAGAAAAATAACAACAAAAAATACTTCTAAGTCAGGTTAGGTTAGGTTAATACAACTTAGTTTGTTTTATAATTGCAATATGCAATAAAAAGTATAATAAGCATAATTCTTCCTACTTACATCAAATCAAAATTTGGAACTTGATTAAAGTATGTACTTCTAAAGTTAAAGTTGGTTAACTTACGGTAGTGAATGCTTTCAAATTAAGATCTGCAAAGTTACACGCTGTGAGCTTACACGGTTTTTGAGCTCTGAAAAATAATACAGAATAATTATGATGGCGTAACATTGCACGACTAATAATTAGATCAGTGGTTCTCAAACTTTTTAAATGACGGAACCCTTTTGGGAAGCAAAATACTTGATGGAACCCTACAATAAAACAATTATTTTTATAAGTGTATTCTATATTAATCAGCATAATAAAAGTACAATGTATCCGTTACTAATTATTATTTACTTCACCACTTGGTAAGGACAATAATAGAAAACATTAAAAAAGAAAAAATCTAACTAGTGGGAGGTATGAAACTGTTTTTTATTTTTCATCAATTGCTTGATATCAGGTTTGATGGAAGAAAGTTGGAGTCTCATATCAGCTTCGGCGTCCAGTCTATTGCGATATTTTGTTTTCGTGGCTGCGTAGGTAGAGAATCCTGTTTCGCACAAATATGTAGTTGGGAACGGGAGAAGAATATCCAGAGCCATTTGGCCAAGCATTGCATATTCATCTTGGATTCTGCACCAAAAATCATTAAGAGGCGTCGTTTTGAACAATGACTCCATACTTGTGTCTGATGACATTTCTAAAAGAGATTCATATATCTCATTTGACATGTTTTCAGGCTTTTCCAAGTTGGGTAAAAAAGGATTATGAATCCAGGAGTTCACTTTAATTTTTGTATTGTGTTCTTCGGGAAAATACTTTTCAAAAGATGCGCGCATCGAACTGAGATATTGGACCAATTCTTCAAACACATTATCTTCAAACATTTCTGAGTCGTTTTCGCTAACAAACTCAGTGAGTAACGTAAAACTTTCTATTTCTTTCTTACCAATGCAAATGATCCAAAAATCTAATTTTCTTTTAAAAGTAGTTATTTTATTATAGGCCTGAAACACTGTTGTCTGTTTACCTTGCAATGATAAATTTAATTCGTTAAGTTTTTGAAAGATATCCGCCATAAAAGACAATCGGAACAACCAAGTTTTATCATACAAACGGTCCTTCAAATTAAAAGAAGTATCTGCTGAAAGAAACATTTGTAACTCGGCTCTAAGTTCAAATAGCCTTGTTAAAGTTTTTCCCCGAGACAGCCATCGCACTTCTGTATGGAGCAGCAGTGTTTTATGTTTGCTGCCATAATCTTCACACAATAATGAGAACAATCGGGATTGTAGTGGTCGTGATTTGATAAAATTAATTATTTTTACCGCTTCATCCATAACTAATTTTAGATTAGACGGCATTTGCTTCATCGCAAGTGCTTGTCTATGCAGAATACAATGACTGGAACTACAATTAGGCGCTTTATTTTTCATTCGTGACACTGCTCCTGCTGTTTTACCTGTCATCGCCTTGGCCCCATCTGTACAAATGTCAATGCAATTGTTCCAACTGAGATTATGTTCTTCAAAAAATATATTTATTTTATTAAAAATTTCTTCCCCGGTAGTGTTTGTAAGCAGCGATGAACACATAAGCATGTCTTCTTCAAAAGAACTTTTATATGGATATCTCACAATAACCAGCAGGATAGCCAAACCAGCGACATCAGTCGACTCGTCCATTTGCAAAGCGAATCGTGTATTTTGTAGACGTGTAACTAGTTCTTGTTTGACGTAGCTTGCCAGATCATGGATTCGTCGTGAAACAGTATCGTTTGATAGCGGAACAGTAGAAAGATGCTTTGCAGATTTTTCATCAAGCATACATTTTGTTATGTCTAATACACATGGTTTTATTAATTTCTCAGCGATAGTGTGCGCTTCACCTGCTTGTGCAATGCGATAGCTAACTAAGTATGATGCCTCCGTGGCCTTTTCGTTGGTAGTTTGTGTTACATGCATCATATTTTTTTGACTTTCTAATAACTGATCTTTTTTGCGAACAAAAAATTCTTTATTCTTGTCTTTAGTCTCGGGGTGTACGGTTTCTAAATGTCGACGCAATTTGGCAGGTGCCATGGAACTATTAGGAAGCAGTTTACTACAGAGCATGCAGAGAGGTGAGCCGTTGGAATCAACAAATCCGAAACTGATATAAGATTCATCATACTTCCTTTTTTTCGTCTTTGAAACCGTCGAGCTTGACGTCGTGGCACTCGTGGCATCATCTTCTGGATCGGTGATTGCTAAATTCTCCGCGCGCATTGCTTTTGAACATTCAGCGTCATTAGAAGATGTTGTTGGAACACGTTTAACACCTTTAAGCCAACGTTCCATTCTTCTTTATTTATAATGTTACAAGTCAGGATAGTGGGGTTTAAATAATGCACAATCGTTACTGCGTATAAGAGACTAAATTTAGAACCTACAGGGAAGAAATGTATAAAACTGAGACAACAGAATACAGCAGGCAGTAAAACAATGAACACCAGTTTCTCGCTAGCGAGCTTGTAAGTAGGTAGTAACTTATCGCTCCGAACGCTAATCATCAACTGACGACGCCAACGCGCGATCGCCGCTTTTATACTTAGTCCTAGACTCGATCTCAAATATTCTCGAAAATACTCGAGTCGGCACCTTTGATAAACAAAAAGCAAAAATAAAAACAGAAATTTAAAAATAGCGTTGTAAACAATATCGACTTTATCCTTTGAAGTTAGAGACGAAAGTCGCTAGTTGACAACTATAGCGTCTAATTCAGAGGCGGCTTTTATCAAAGAGACTGAGCGCTTACAAGTATACTACCCGCTCGTTTTAAGTTTGCCGCTGGCGATAGGTATGAGTGTATGACGTTCGAAATTTTTTATTTAATTGTAACAATAAAAATTGTGTACGTTAGATATTTGGGTAAAACTATGACACATTATAAGTTTTGTTGTCACGTGGGGGAGGGTACGCGCATTCCACAGACCGGCAAACTTAGAGTTGCGTTGAGTTTAGCGTTGTACAAGTATAAAATTGTTGAGACCAAACTTATGAGATATTGTACCAGCTAATGTAACACAAGCTTATACAAATACAAATAAATAAATAAATAACATTCATAGCGTTTTGTCTCCGCGCGGCCGCGGAGTCCGCACAGCCGCGGAGCGACCAGAGAGAGGTGTTTTGATTTTTTTATTTCTAAATTCTTGCGGAACCCCGACAGAGGTATCACGGAACCCTAGGGTTCCGCGGAACACACTTAGAGTATAGCTGAATTAGATAATATAGAAACAATTTCGCGTGGAATTTTTTCTAGTAATATTTTCTTAAGATTTAGCCAAAAATGCTTAAAAAATAAAAAAAGATTACCCGAATAAAAAAAGTCTAATCTTTTCAGATGGGCAATCGTGTATTATTGTTTCATATGCCTGAGACGATTTAGATGTATGCGGTATTCGTAAAAAATGATCTAAAAAGTAAAAAAAATAGTCTATTTTTGGAATAGGATGGAATGTAAGTAGTATTCTAGTATAAGTACTTATAACGTTTTCTTAATGCAGTCGGTGGAATGTTATGTAACGAGAATAGCATTATTAAATACTGTTATTTCGTCCTATTCGAAAAATAAAACTTATGTTTTTTTTAAGCATTTAACTGCTAGATGTTTAATAAAACTTATTTTTTACTTTTTATGTATTTTTCAATACGCTTTAAATCACTTATTATTATAATGAATACGTGATAGGAGAAGGGGTATCAGTGCCGATGGGTGGATACTAACGATAGCGGATGCAGACGGGACCAACGTCTGAATTGCCTTCCAAAACAGAGAAGCGCTGGGATAAAAAAAAAATATCACTCATCATATAACCGGCCATTGCGAAAGATGCTTAACTTCCACGATCGCAGAACCAAGCACTACTGGAGGCCGATCAAAAGTTTTTATGACATTTCTTATCGCGCTAAAGTTTTGACAGCTAGTTGATATGTAAACGTATCACTATTGGGTTGTCCTCCAGTGAACTTCAGTCAAAAACATAAAGTAGATTTCAGTTTACAGGTGAAAATTAGCGCGATATCGATTTCGTATAATATTGAGTAGCAATTAGAAATGGGCTAAGATTGAACCTTAATTGAACTTTGGCTGATCGATCAAAATAATAAACAGCGCGATTGGCCTGCTGAGCTGCTCAAACATGTTATGAGCGGACGCGAGCTGAGAGACTTTTGAGAAATAGGTATTTGAAAAAACTACTGCTGTCACGAATTGGCAAATACCGTGCGATAGGGACAACAGTAGTAAAGGCTAAAAATTGTGGGTAAAAATTTCTAAATTCGAGGTTAAGCTCTCCACGGTTTCCTCTTCGAAAATTAAACATACGTCAAAGAAATTGTACCCATAGAATAATAAGTAGTTATACTATGCCTCTTTGTTTTGCTTTTTTGTAAATGCTTATTAATTCTCCACACTAGACGTCTTTCGTGGTAATAAAAATTTGTTTATTTTTGTCATTTTAAGAGGGGCTCTTAATTCTTTTGAAAAAAAAAAGTTATCGAAAACAGGAATACATAGGAGAATAGAATGAGTAAAATTATATTCTATGTTTGAAAATCAATTCTTTGGTGATAAAAATCAAGAAGGAATCCCTCGGGAATGTTTGTATGGAAAAAACATTGCCCGCCTTCCTCTTAAACCGCCAATACACGTTGGTCGAGCTAATCCAACGCGAACGTAGATACAAGGCAAGTGCTACCATAAAGAAATTGAGCAGATTTGAAAAAGACCAATGCAATTGGCCAATGTAGAACAGCTTTATGGAGCTGCCCATACATTGGCTATCCGTAATAATGGACTAATGTTGGCGAGCGACAGCGCTAAATGAGGTCTATAATATTGGCGCTTCCTTTTACTCGGCAAATTGCGTAAGCTGCACCGAGCGATGATAAGGCAAAAGAAAGAAAGAAGAAAAAAGTATTTAATAGACGTGCACGCAAATACATATGTAGAAAAAAAGAAAAAACAATGAGCAAAAGAAAAATTAAATTAAAACAAAACAGGGAAATACAAACGAGAAAGAAGAATGGCTAATATGGACCCTGCCTGAGTTTAATGCTGTTATTTTGGGAACGAATATTCCCACCATAACAGCGCTGGTATTCTGGCAGGACCATTACAAGGATGCCAAAGGGACAAAATATTAAAGTAATATAAAATTATCAAACGGTTTATAAAAAAGGAAGCAAAACGCAATGTCTATGTGTTAGTATTGGCCTTCGCTTGGCTAGTATGTATAGTCGGCTCAAGCCTAGCTAACCAGATGAACTATACGGTTCACCGTATGACGCAATATCAGGTAAATATGTACCTTAGGGAATGTAGGTCTGAGCTGAAATATTTCTACCAGACACGCAAGCAATAAATTACGTCATATTAAGTGCCTATGCATGAATATAAAAAGTACCCCAGATGGGCACTAAACGCATAACGATACCTTCTCGCTCTAATAGCGGAAGGTGTCATGTTCAGTTATACACCTGGATAACAATATAGGCAGAGAAATCCTAGGTCTTCGCCTGGGGCTTAACCAATTAACCACACGGACATGTGCTTTATGTAAATTTAATCTCTTTCTGTGCTTCGTGTTAGAGTTTCAAGACAACAAATTCATAGGATATAGGGTGTGACTATAGAATCTTACTTACTTTTAAGTGTGATAAGGGTAAATGTTTTTGAATGTTGGTAACACTGAACTCTAGTTGCACTTTATTCACATCAAATAAGGTAAAATGACTGATTCCGATGTTAGAGTTTCAAGACAACAACTTCAAATAACCAGTGCCCAATATGACATCTTTGAAGTGTGACTATAGATTCTTACTTACTTTTAAGTGTGATAAGGGTAAATGTTTTTGGAAGTTGGTAACACTGAACTCTAGTTGCACTTTATTCACATCAAATAAGGTACAGTGACTGATTCCGACCTATTTTAATCAATCATGATTCAGGGTGTTAAATAATGATAAGAAAGTAACGATGCAGCGCGGGATGCGGGAAGCATAGAGTGAGACCATAGACCTAATTGTTTTTATTTCAGCTTTTCATTTTACAACTTCAAATATGTGGGCAGCGTAGTAGGCACAAAGGTGCGACTACATAGTTACAAATATGAGGACGAGATTACTACACATAATTGGGGATCGAACGTCACTTGGTAAGTTAGTCCGATCTTTATAAGTTTTATCTACACCCATGCTTTAAAACCTCTAATAAGCATAATATCATCATTATCATCCATACGAATGATATAATGTTGTACTATAAAACTATATATACACAGTCAGGTCATAAGTATTGTCACACAGTAAAAACTTTTCTTTTAGAATGCTGGCCACAAAAAAGTTTATTGAATTCGAGTTTCGAATTGTTCATGAAAATAAAAATGTATACTTTTTAGAATTTTACTCATTTTTAAATATGGAGTGGACGCTTAAAGCAGACCGTGTTGCAGTTATTGCGTTGCATCGTTGCAGTTACGCGCTGATTCAAATTTTAGACATACTGAAAGAATTGAATATAACCAAAAGATTCCTTTATCGTACCATCAAACGATACAATGAAGACTCTAGTGTAGATGACAGGTCAAGAAGTGGTCGCCCTCGGTCTGTTAGGACTCCAGCAGTGATAAAAGCTGTGAAGGCGCGAATTCAAAGAAATCCCAAACGTAAGCAGAAACTGTTGGCCCTTCATAGGGTTAACCAGAACCACGGTGAAAAGGGTGGGGCTTCAGGCATATCGAAGAAAAACAGGACATCGTTTGAATGCTCGTCTAATGGACCTGAAACTGAAGAGATGCCGCGTTTTGTTGAAGCGGTACGCGGGAAAAAAATATCGGGAAATTCTTTTTTCGGATGAAAAAAAATTTACCGTAGAAGAGAGCTACAACAAACAAAATGATAAGGTACGCACACAGTAGTGAAGAAGCAAGCAACCGTATTCCGCGTGTCCAACGAGGTCATTTTCCATCCTCACTCATGGTATGGTTGGGAGTTTCTTATTGGGGCTTAACAGAGGTACATTTTTGTGAGAAAGGTGTAAAAACGAATGCAGTTGTGTATCAAAATACAGTCCTGACGAACCTTGTGGAACCTGTTTCTCATACCATGTTCAGTAACAGGCACTGGGTATTCCAACAAGATTCGGCGCCAGCTCATAGAGCGAAGAGCACACAAGACTGGCTGTGAAATCGTGAAATCGACTTCATCCGGCACGAAGACTGGCCCTCCTCCAATCCAGATTTGAGTCCGTTAGATTACAAGATATGGCAAAACTTGGAGGAAAAGGCGTGCTCAAAGCCTCATCAGAATTCGGAGTCACTCAATACATCCTTGATTAAGGTAGCCGCCGATATTGACATGGACCTCGTTCGTGCTGCGATAGACGACTGGCCGCGCAGATTGAAGGCCTGTATTCAAAATCACGGAGGTCATTTTGAATAAACTTTATTGTCATAAGAATCTATGTTTTTAATTCATTTTGGTATATAAATGGTTACATAATGAATAAACTTGTTTCAATAATTTTATATTAAACATGTGACAGAATTTATGACCTGACTAGGTATACTCGTATAACTCAAAGGTGACTGACTGACTGACATAGTGATCTATCAACGCACAGCCCAAACCACTGGACGGATCGAGCTGAAATTTGGTATGCAGGTAGATGTTATGACGCAGGCATCCGCTAAGAAAGGATTTAGATCAATTCTACCCCCAGGGGGATAAAATAGGGAATGAAAGTTTGTATGAAACTTTGTCAATAAACCGATCGGGCTGAGGCTTTGCATGCAGGTATAAGAAGAATCATAGATGAATGTCATTGTGTATAATACAAGCTTGAGAATAAAAACTGTAGTCTACACTTCAGCTCTACACCGAAGCGAAGCGAGGGCGGGCCGCTAGTATTTTTATAATAACACTCCCTTGCTTTTTCCTCACTCACATACTCCTAAGGGGTTTATTCATCAGACAGTCATATTCTTACTGCTTCATTTGTCGTATCTAGATGAGTTAACAACATTATCATTAACACAGCGCCAAATCTTCTCATAAATTTTAAGTTCTAAAAACGCCTCATGGTTTCAGAATATTTATAGAGGAATCTTTTTTTTTTGAGTGTGTATGCTGTTGGTCGCAGATGACCTTTACAGCGTCACCGGGTTTGGGGACGGCGAGACCCTAAGGGGACCTCAAGCCGAGAATTGGCGAGTGCCTCTAGAGGTATTCCAGGCGAATGGCGTCTCCCCACGGGGGGAGTCTCCTCTCCGTCTGGAGCCTCTAGACCACTGGAACCTGAGGGGGTCGTCTCAACAAGAGAGCTTCTCTGAGACTCGGACCTCGGCTCTAGTTAGCCGTTGTCGTGGGGGGCGGAACATTATAGAGGAATCATATCATGGGTGCAGATAAAGTCTTCTATGCAAATGTTTATAATCAGCTCATAATAGGATAATATATATGTATGAGAGCGTGTATGGGAGCGTGCGATAAAACGTTTTACCGCACGCTTCTTTGTATGACCCGTAATTTTCAACTTTCGAACAATATAGACAACCTCCGTAAATGCATTTTTAGAGCAAACGTGTTGAAGATATAGTTATAGCAACTATTAAATATTCTTTAGTCATAGAGCCAGTGTAATACTTTATGTATATATATATATATATACATATATATATATATATATAGTATACTGCACTATGATGAGAATTGTTCCATATAAGTCATAGATTGTGTAAGTTAAGCTGTAAAAATGTCGACAGACCTTAATTAAATAAATAAATACTTACGGCCGTTGCATAAATAACTATTGCTTAATATTCAACACTTTAATACCAACCTGATGAGTATCAAGAAGACGCTCTTCTTAACTCTTTCATCAGCATCGTACCACAGCGAATTGTAAATGGCATTGACGATCTGGGTGCTCTATAATAAGACGAATCAGAGTTAAAATGGTCGAGAAGTGTAATTACGGGAGGCGCGCATCGAATCCCGACCGGTATACCTAAGTATATGCGAAGTTTTAACAACACAGGTAGGAATTGAAGTATTTAGCAAATTTTGTCAAATTAGAGACTTCAGCCATACAACAAAATTGTATAAATAAATCGACCTATGCATAGAATAAAGTTACAATATGAAAATTACAAATTACTTTTAATATAATTTTAGACGAAACGGACGCATATATTTTACTGGTAAAAACATTTATTGTAAAACTTATATAACTTCGAAGATAGCAATTGAATAAAGGTACATGTGATTTTTGTTTCCGAAGAATATAGTCCAGTCAAATTACGGAATCAAATAAACATGAGCGAACACAGTTTGGGGATTTTGAGGATCGTTAGGGGGGTGCATCCTGAGCTTAAGTTCCAATTTGAGGGGCTGTACTGAGGTCAGCTCAAGGTCATTTCGATGCAAACGCGTTTAATTCGATATCTCGAGAAATATCAGTGTTAGCCAAAAAATTATAGAGACCTTTTTTCTTCTAAATAAAATTTATTAACTTTTTTATTTAAAACTTTTTTTTGTAACATCAATATTTTTTAAGTTATTACTCCCGCAAGGCAAAAATTTCATTTTTTTCCCTATTTTTCGTCGTTTTCTCCCCAAACATTCAATTTTATTGAATTTTACCGATCATCAACGTGTATATCTTTTAATTATGCACAATTTTGTTCTTAAACTTTTTTCTGTAACTTCAATACCTTCGGAGTTATATATTATTTTACCGAGCGAAATCCACGCCACTGTCGCAATATAAAAGGGTAAATCGATTAAACTATTTAAAAATTGGGTATTTAATTTGGGTAAATTTATGGGTTTGTTTGGGTAACAAGTAAATTAACAATTAAAACTGTTTCACACATTTATTGATACAAAAAATAGGTTATAAAATTCGGAAAATTAAGCACCCGAGGTCGAATAACTCCGAAGGTATTGAAGTTACAGAAAAAAGTTTAAGAACAAAATTGTGCATAATTAAAAGATATACACGTTGATGATCGGTAAAATTCAATAAAATTGAATGTTTGGGGAGAAAACGACGAAAAATAGGGAAAAAAATGAAATTTTTGCCTTGCGGGAGTAATAACTTAAAAAATATTGATGTTACAAAAAAAGTTTTAAATAAAAAAGTTAATTAATTTCATTTAGAAGAAAAAAGGTCTCTATAATTTTTTGGCTAACACTGATATTTCTCGAGATATCGAATTAAACGCGTTTGCATCGAAATGACCTTGAGCTGACCTCAGTACAGCCCCTCAAATTGGAACTTAAGCTCAGGATGCACCCCCCTATCGATCCTCAAAATCCCCAAACTGTGCTCGCTCATGTTTTTTTAGCCCTTTTTTTTCCGTAATTTGACTGGACTAATATAGAGTCAAGAGCACTAGTACCTTTTGGATAGGCAAGAAAGCAGCCTGCACGGCTTCAATTTTGTTACAAACTGAGACTTTTTACTAAATGTTTGATTCTTTTTTTCATATTTGCCATATTATCATAACGTGACGCGACAGGATATATAAATTTTGTAAAACAAAGTTATATCTTCACATAATATTGACACGTTTCCCAAGCATAAGGTCTAATATGCATATATAACATAAAGATGTCCGTAGTAAATTGTCACATAATCACATAAGATACTCTTAAATAACAAAATATGAGCCGTAAATTTAGTTTTTATTAAACAATATGCGTCATAATTTGCTTCTTAATGCTTTATATGATTGGTAAAAAAAAACCTAGAAAATACCAATACAAGTTACAGCAAATTTTACATCTTACAAACTTCAACTCGCTCTACTGTAAAGTAGGGATTATGCAGAAGTTGCTTTATCCTATGGGTGGATAGGTCGAAAGATTCCCATCGCACGCCAAGCCAAGCCCCAAAGTAAGCTCTGTAAGGCTTGTGTTATGGGATACTAGAGTAACGGATACATTACATTATACTAATACTTAAATAAGTAATATTTATCTAGAAATATATAACAACATCCATTACTTAGGTACTAATGTTCGTTTGATTCATCATACTAAGGGTCCCCATATACGGAACGATTGATCTGTACGATCCGTCGTTTCAGACCGATCGAAACGATGGATCGACAGTGTATGTCAAGATCGTTAACGATTTACTTAATCGCAGACGATATCGGAGATCGCAACAAAAACCCATGCAATCATGAATATCGTAAACGATCGATCGTCAGTGTCCCATAAACGGTACGATTGATCTGTACGATCCGTCGTTTCAGACCGATCGAAACGATGGATCGACTGTGTATGTCAAGATCGTTAACGATTTACTTAATCGAAGACGATATCGCAAATCGCAACCAAATCCCATGCAATCATGAATATCGTTCATGCAATCATGAGTTCGTTTTCTATTTTAGAGGGCAAGTATTGAATTATTTGAGTACGTCTTTATCCTACCGTTTGAAACAAGTAAATGATAGATCGTTACGATCAATCGTTTCGTGTATGTAGTGGCATTTCTGAACGATCGATCGTTGACGATTTCCTTCAGATCGATCGCAACGACGAATCGTTCCGTATATAGGGCCCTTAACATTTGCCCCACCAGAATTCGAATCCGGGACCTCTGAGTAGGCAACAGGCAACACTTTGAAACGCGGCGATCATAATCATAATCAAAATCATTTATCCAGTTTAGGCTGTTATAAGCACTTATGAAGGTCTAGAAGCTACGCCATCGGTTCGTAAATCTACGGCGGGAGATCTTGTACTGAGAAGAACCGGCAAGAAACTAGGCAAGGGCTGTTTTTTTCTGCCTGTTTTATTATTTACAGAGCCGTCATGTTTAAAAATGACTTCAAAGATGATTCATGAACCTTTTATTACATAATGTGAAATACACATTATTTGTTCACCTGCATTTTGATTGCTGTGTCTTAAAGTATAAATACAGTGTTAGTGTGTTATTTATATTGGGTGTCTCAGACATTAACATCTTCAATATCAAGGTAGTTATGGCAGACTCATCTCCGCTAGCAGCACCCGTTTACGAGCATGGCGCATGAACCAGCCATCGCTTCGCTCAACCATATTTTAGGGAACGTAACGACCCGCCTCACATGAAATCACCGAAAATACTTTTAAGAGAGCATGACTACCCATAACCACCTATACTAACTACAACACATTTACTTTAAATTAAGATCATTTTGTCATATCATACCACTCGGCCACGGAGGCCGTCGTATTCTGTAAAGATGAGGCCAAACGGGCGTAACTGTATTGAGTTGTGAGTTTAGGGCCCGTATTAAAGAAAGATTCTCAGTGATTGATCTAGCCTTGAGCATAGTTAGAAAGGGATGTCGCTATATATAGCACATAGCGACATCCCTTTCTAACTGTACTGAAGTAAAGATCGACACTTAGTTATCATTCTGTAATACGGGCCTTATTACAGAATGATAACTAAGTGTCGATCAATCTGTAATAGTTATCATTCTGTAAAACCACGCCACATGGCAACATTCATAATCAGCCTATTAGTCCCATTGCTGAGGTACAGGCCTTCCCTATGGATGGAATAGGGAGATTGAGCCATGACCTACGCGGGTCCAGTGTGGATTGGTGGGTGCTAAAGGCTGCAGATGCAGCCGAGACCAACGGCTCAACGTGCCTTCCGAAGCACGGAGGAACTCGAGTTGCTTAACTTAAACGATCGCAGCCGAACGCGCTAACCACCCCGCCATCAAGCTCCTCCATGGCAACATTATTTATAATGTTCCATGAAATAATATTGCGCTCTATTTACTTCACCCTTAATATTGTTTTCCTAAAAGAGTAAGAAGTTATAAATTGAAGAGTATGACAACATCCGCTATATCATTAATAAACATGTTAGTAACAAGAATTCTGGAGGCGTACCTACGATGTTTACAATTGGAAGTTGAATCTCATGGTCATATAATATATGTCTTATTCTTAAGTCTTATTGTTTATCATTGTCCTTATTTGCTGTTTGTTTTGTTTCAATTATGTTATTTATAGTCACATTATATAGGTACTTATCTATTACATGTATGATAGTGTGCAAATGTGAGGGATTCTCAAAAAAACTTTATGCGATAGGTAGGAAGAATAGTACATTCTTCCTTCTATTAAATATTTCTTCTACAATTTTATTTGCTTAAAAAAATTGTGTGCTCGTATCTGAAGTGAAACTTCTTCTTTTAAATAACCTAACATTAGGCAGTGTGTATATGTATTGTTTCGTGTGACACTCGTGGCGTTCGTAACGTTTCGCCGAGTCACCCTGCAACTCTCATGCTCGTCGGGAAGAGCTGTGCAAGCATCCCACACACACACACACACACACATATATATATATATATATATATATATACAGGGTGTTAAAAAATCCTTTAACGGAGTCGAAGGCCACGTATTTTCCACATAATGACGATAATTTGTTTTTTGACCATACCTGGGAAATTTATGGTTATCGCGTTGTTGACGGTTAAACTGACATTTTTTTTAAGATTTTTACGTTAATATTTTCCAAACGTTATTTAGAAACTTTTTTATCGACGCACTTACACAAACGCGCACACATACACACAGGCACATTTTTTGCGTAGCGCCACAGAAACGCGCCGCGCTATACATTGCGTACTGGAATTTTTTTTTTTTTTTAACTTTATAATACAAATGATTCCCACGTATAATATTTTGTAATATTAATTACTTGTGTGTACAGAATGCGTAGTTTTAGTCTTTGTCACAGGTTTTTTTTACTTCCTATATAGGTATATAGAGTCGTGTGACGCATTTCCGTTTCATCTTTTCAATACTATGTTTCCCTTAACACACAGACCGATAAGAAGTTTCACTTCAAAAAGTACTTGAAACCCTTAAGATTTGTGGTTTGTGTTTGACTACACCCAGAAATATTTACCGAACTCATGAGCATATCTCCAAAGTAGCACAGCAACGATATTTGCGATAAATTCATGAAGAGGAAAGTCGCAAAAGTCACCATCACTATAATATCTTCCACCATCTACGAATAAATAAAATAGCAGTTAATTGTTTTTTTTTTAAAGGGAAATACATTTCAACGTTATTGTATTGTAGTTTTATGTTTATGAATGAGAACGGTTACGACGCAATAGAAATATGACGAATTATTGCAATACCACGTAATTCTACTTCGTACTAAATATTTCTATGTAAATATAAAATTAATTCCAAAAGGACACTACTGACTACTTTTGTATAATGACGTGTTCGATGTGTAACACGTATCACTCTAAATATTTTTGTTTCTTTGTTGTATTAAAAACCGAAAAAAAAACTGGTGAAATGTTTATTTCGACGGATGCATTCGAGCTTTACCCCCTAATGAACGAGGAATAAGCTTTTTTTAACACACCTTTTAGCTTAGCCCCAAAATAAGCACTGTAAGGCTTGTGTTACGGGATACTGGGGTAACGGATAGAATACATACTGCATATAAGAATATTTATATAGAAATACATATTAAACATCCATGACTAGAGTACAAATGCTCGTATTCATCACACAAACATCTGCGCCCACCGGGATTCAAATTAGGGACCTCTCGAGTCGGCGACACTGTGAAAGCCGGCATATAAACCACTCGGCCACGGAGGTCGTATACTAGTGACGCTGTGTTTTGTGCATATCACTCAAATGCTATTTGCAATTCCATGTAGCGAGAGGAACCAGGAGCTCTGAGGAATGCGTTAGTGCCAGAAACACAGCTAGGCGAGGTGTACTCGTAACCTCATACCAGATCGTACTACACGTTAAACATATATCATCGCAATAATTTATGGCATTTCTCGTTAGTGTGTGCATCGTTATCACATATACAAATAACCTAAAAAATCTCACCGTAATAATGAATCCAGAAAGGCAGATGAGAAAGGAACTGGTGACTATGTTGAAAAGCGTTGACTTAGTGTATAAAATCTCCACCCGGTTCACCAAGCTAGAAGTAATAACAAATAACATAACAATTAAGTTAATTTTATTCTTACAGATAATAATCACGTTAGATCCACAGTTTTAAATTTCTAGTTTGATCTATGCCAGTGGATGGTCAGTAAATTTCTCAAAAGTCCGGCCTAGTATAATAAATAACCTTTAATAATAAAAAAAACGCATCCAAAACTCGAAAAAACTGTGGAAACATGTAAAATCTAAAAATATTATTTATTTGACGACCTCGGTGGCAGAGTGGTTTGTACGCCGGGTTTCATGTTGTCGCCTACTCGAGAGGTCCCGGTTCGAATTCCGGGGGGGGGGGGGGGGGCGGGCAGATGTTTGTGTGATGAATACAAGCATTTGTACTCCAGTCATAGATGTTAAATATGTATTTCTATATAAATATACTCATAGATGTAATCAGTATGTAGTTATATATCTACCGTTACCCTAGTATCCCATAACACAAGCCTACAGTGCTTACTTTGGGGCCAGGCTAATTGGTGTGAGTGTTGGAAATATTTATTGTTATTTATATCTATATCATGATGAAACAGGAACAACTTGTAATAGGTAAATATATAATCATAATCACATACTCGATCAACTCATGGTGTCTTCTGATGGCTACCTTCAAATTCAGTCTCGTCTGAATCGAAGAAGCGGAGACCGCATTCTCATAATGGTGACACAGAATCCGGAAATGCATCTGAATGTAGATGCACGCCGCGTAGAAGAGAGTATCAGAACCGAACACGTTCATAGCAACGATGACAGCTGAAAAAGTAACTCAGATGGAATTTAGATACTCGCGAGAGTAAGATCCCATTAATATATCCCATAAATGTGAATGTTTGTGTATTTGTATGGTTGTTCCTCAATCACACAAATACTACTGAAAGGATAAAAGCTTTGGATACAAATTTAGCACGCGCATAGTTTATAACCCGGATTTAGCGTTTCCTCCTAGCTCGACGTAGGATCTCAACACTTGATGCGTCCAACAAGCTTAAAGCCAACATGCTTGTACATGCCCACATTTTAAATGCTTCTACACGTTTCAGGAGTTGCTCTATTAGGGTCTAGGCCTCAAATCCGTATTAAACTATAGGCCGTATATAACATTGGAGTAGACGAGTACACAAAGATATTTTGAGCATGGGATTGCAAAGTACCTTTTTCATTTTCAGTCACTAATGCGGGTATTTAATTCAGAGCCGCTGTCCCACTTTTCATTCAACCAATTTGCCCAGATATACCTATATATTTACGCACCCGATTCAACACCTTGCCTTCTACAGAAATCACACTATTTACAGCCTCTTTCTTGGTGACCACCATGATTTTCGTCTTAGAGACATTCATATTTAGACACGCCCCCAAACTGTACTCATTTATAAAACAATTTATTGTAATTCAGCCTCTGTGGGAGCCATCTGGATTGTGTCATCCATATATCTAAGATTGTTGAGGACACGCCCGTTAATCTTGATGCTACACTCAAGCCCTTTCAGTGATAATTGCCTCCGAATACAGATTACAGACTGTTGGTGAGAGTTTACACCCATTCCGGACGCCTCTTTTGATCTGCACTTGGTCAGTCTCCTCACCATCCACAAGGACAATAGCTCTCTGGTTCCAGTACAGATTATGGATAATACGTACATTTTTACCATTTAATCCAATGTCCTTTAAGATTGCTATAAAACGATCGTGCAGCACTCTATCAAACGCTTTTTGTTAAAACGTCTTGTTGCATATCTGTGCATTTTGAACCAAAACCTGTACAGCAAACAAAGCCTCTCTTGTTTCCACTCCAACTCTTATCTAAATTGACTGTCTCTAGCTGTTTATCACACCGAACTCTTATGCATGCATGAATAATGTTTAAAAACAGTTTTAGCATCACGTGTATAGCGCTGTCCCGCATGCGGGATCCAGCAAGATGAAAAGTGCGTAGAGTACTTAAGCAACACGCAAGTGATACTATCTGGTGTCGCAAGCGTTTCTAGGTTATGGTGATCGATTACTATAAAGTGGACCATATGCTTTTTTGTCAAACTTGTTTGTCATAAAAACTGGTCAAATGCGAATAACATGCCCTGACGACATCCCGTACCCGAGGGGTACGGGATGTAGCCAACTGAGATTTGTAACGCATTATCTTATTTGTCATTGTCGTTACCTACATTACAAGAGGTGGCGCTGGCTTGCAGCCTAAGATATACTATTAGAAATTATCGCTACATCCTTTAAAGTTTCGGTAGCATTTGCACAGAAAGCGATAGATGCTGGTTAAATAAATACCTGCCTGATTTTTGGGCTAGCGAAAAATTGGAGTAAAACTTTTTTTAGTTAAAAATAAGATAGAAATTCATGCATAAATTAAAAAAAATAAGAAAAAAAATCTAAAATAATAATTCTATTTATTAACAGTAGTACTGAATTCCGCTCTAGTAGATCACAGCAGTCTCTTCGTTACTGTTTATATGCGTCCAGTCTCACCGGCAAAGGTTTTTCCTGTTTTGAGATCTATCCAACGTCGATGAGCTCCACAAGCAAATCTAAATTCTACGCTTATCAGCATTGAGCTGAATGTGCTGCTAAGAAGAATATATGAGTCAATAACACACCACACTGAGTCATTTCGTCATAATCGTGGCTGCGAGGCGACACGTCTTTACAGTTAATTGAATCGTTTAATATTCTGCAGCTGCACCGTTTTAGAATTTCAGCAAGTCTTATGACTTACATTAAGTATGTCCACGGTCCTATATCCTTTTTAGTCTCGTCCCAGGCGTGGCGGGCATGGATACTCTACTACCAACTTTAAGGTAGTCTGAGATGTGAGAATTTATAAAAATCATTCCCACAGATAGCCATACGTTCATGAACAAGGAATTAAATTAGTAAAAGGTTGTTTTCAGGATATTGTCGAAAATAAATGAAACCTCAAATATGATTAAGGGCTGTACTGTTAGAACACGGTGGAATAAACCTACTTTTCTACCTATTTTAAACAGAACATAAAAATATAACGCTTGCTAAGTTCAGTCGAAATTCCCGTATTGTTATAGATTGATATTGTGGCAATGGGATTCATCTCAATTCAGTCTGTGAGACAACCCTCTATCTATTACGGTTTTCCATTTAAAATCTTCTATGTGCAGTCTCTGTAGAAAAATGTTTAACCAACGCCGTTTTATGTGAATTATCGGAAATTAATTTATCTTATTACATTAACTGTACTAATGATAAAATAGTTTTATCTCAAGCAGAAAGCTCCGCATCACAGACCAGAAAAAAGTTTATTCTAAACTACAAAACAGGGATACTAACTTGACATAACCTGATGAAAGTACACGAAAGGCCACAGCGCCATCTTGAAGGGGTCAAAGAAATATTTGACCATGTAAACATACTTGTACTCCAGTACACCAGTGCTGTAGTAAATAAAAACCATTGTAGAGACAGGCATCAAAGGAAACGCGACTACGACAGCACTACAAATGTAATACTGAACTTTGACGACTAAATTCAAAAAATCCACCGATTCATTCTTTATATCCCTCTCTATATCAGTATTAATATCGGATTTATTTGAATTGTCTTCAAAAATATCCAATTCCTTATCATGAGAGAGGTCAGCGTTCGAATGGTATTTCAAAGTTTCGTCACTTTCTGGGTATATCTCTCTCAATTTATCGATTACTTTGACTACGACATCTCGATTCAAATACAGAAATATAGATTTTGACGTAGCTAAACAACTGACGGTGATGCAAGGTACAGCCAATGATAGTTCTAAAAAGCTGCTGCCATTCAAAACGCCTTCTATAAGCCAACTGATTTCACCCAAAACGTCTGCGTAAAGCCAAAACACTTGAAAGTAATAGAAGTACGTATCGAACAACTTTTCCAATGCTTTTGGCCATTTTGTTGCACTAATTCTGATGCCAGATAGTGAAAGAAACAATTTAGTTCGCCGCAAACTGTTTTCGAAACATTTTTTTCCATTTGCGTCGAGCATTTTTTCTGATACTGTCTCCTAAACGTTCGACCTCAATACGAAAAGAAATTGAATTAAAAGTTTTTTTGACTAAAGAAAAATTGAAAAAAGAACTAATTATAGGGCACTTTAGAATGTCGAATATAGTATTCTGTTTAATAAGAAAAAAGTGTTAACAATTCCTTTTAAAGGTTTCAAGTTGACGTTTTAATTAGAAGTGATTCGAAATGTCCAAGTAATTAATATTACTATCAGAAGGAATTTTAAACTACGAAAAGAAAGGGATCGACAAAGTAGGTACCAGTTTTATAACGAATTTAAATATTTTTCCATTGTATGTCATATCATATATATCAGAATGAATAAAAGAAAATCATGTCAACTCTTCATATAAGATTAATCAAGAAAGAGTTGAAAAGCTACCTACTCTAAACTCATCAAACTTGGGTGAGTAATATATAAGGGTAAGTATGTCAGAAATATTATTAAATCGTAATATAACTTTCAAGAAACCTCTTCATAGTTGCTTGTTTAATTATTTTGGATTACCTGATTAATTAATTAATGTCTGGATTAATGTCTGTCTTAATAATAAACATCTAATGGAGGAGCTCTATGGCACAGGTGGTCAGTGCGTTTGGCTGTGATCGTTGAAGTTAAGCAACTTTCGCAGTGGTTGGTCATTAGATGGGTGACCAAAAATCTTCTATCTCGAGTTCCTCCTTGCTTCGGAAGACACTTTAAGCCGTTAGACCTGGCTGCATCTGCAGTCGTTAGCACCCGCCAATCCGCACTGGGCCCGCGTGGTGGGTCATGCATGACCCAATCTCCCTATTCCATATATAGGGAAGGCCTGTGCCCCAACAGTGGGGCTATTAATAGGCTGATGATGATGATGAAACATCTTATATATTTAATGTGTAATAGGTAGTAGAGTCCAGATGCGAGGATGAGTGATACAGCACAGAATCTTATATACTCATCTTGCTGGCATGAATCCTATTTGTTTACCAAGTAAAGATAAGAAGTGATTCTAATTATAAATCACCCAGAAGAAGGTGTATTTTGTCTTAGAAAATAGCATTGTTGTTCTTCTTTCGCTCCTTTTCATTCGCAAAAAACACAGTCAACAAATAAACAACAAGCTTGTTGCATTGCTTAAACAATGTAAAAGTATGTATTTCTAAGGGAAAATGGCCAATAAACACCCAGCTCCGCCGACATGTTGTTAGTATATTTCGTAAGATCTATGAAAAAATTAGCCTTTTTTATTATGACAGCATCGAGGAGCTCGATGGCGCAAGTGGTTAGCGCGTTCGGCTGCGATCGTTGAAGTTAAGTAACTTTCGCAGAGGTCGGTCATTGGATGGGTGACCAAAAACTTTCTATCTCGAGCCCCTCCGTGCTTCGGAAGGCACGTTAAGCCGTTGGTCCCGGCTGCATCTGCAGTCGTTAGCACCCGCCAATCCGCACTGGGCCCGCGTGGTGGGTCATGGCCCAATCTCCCTATTCCATCCATAGGGAAGGCCTGTGCCCCAGCAGTGAGGACATTAATAGGCTGATGATGATGATTATTATGACAGCGTAAAAAATATACTGGTGTCGAAAAATATACACATAGGCATATTTATGAGCTGAATAAATTCATTCAATAGTGCCTTTATTTTGTATTATTAGTAGCCTTAATAATGTGAGTCATATATATATATACAACCTATAATATATAGGTTTTACATATTATACATAATAATAACCTATATTATAAAACCAGATATGCTACAAACCTGCAGACCATCCTGCGCTTGCATTTTCAGAGGTGCCTCAAAACCGTTTACGGGTTAGGGGTAAGGAGATTGTAGGACTTGCGGTTGCAACTAGTCGACTCATATGCGGACTGCATATGAGTCGACTAGTTGCAACCGCAAGTCCTACTTCGGTGAGATTGTGATAGTTTTATTATTTTTGCTGTGGACGCATACGAGCTGAAGTTAACTTAAAGCTATTACAGTGAGGACGTTCGGGGAGACGGACAGCATATTTGCTATCTTGCCTAGCTTAAGCTTTTATGAAAAGTTTATTAATTATTTGAGCCTTTAGAATTGTAAAATCGCTGCTAATATTCATATTAAATACTGATGCCAACAATTGGTACATTATTTTTCATATTGTCAAATAGCCTATTGGAGCGCCCATCTGGGGAAGCAGTCTCCACCTGATAGTAGACCACAGTAAAATAACACTACCTATTAGTGGTGTCATTTTTCTGCTGGTGAGTAAGATTCCAGGGCTCTGCGGGGCAGAGGATTGGCTTCGAGCATGCGAGGTGACCATGGCTGAAGCGGCACTTTTTCTGCCGCATCATATATCTTCCCGACTGTTCTCCACTTACATTAAACAACAGGTGGGGTGGGGTTACATGCTGCGCCTCGTTTAAAAAAAATACACACATTCAACACATCCCAAGATTTCAACTGACTTCATAAAGAAGGATGTTCTCAATTTGACTGTATTATTTTTTGTATGTTTGTTACGCAATTTCTACGGCAATTTAGAACCGGTTTCAATTATTTTTTGTAATCGCAAGAGTATTCTCCCACGATAGTTCCACAGTAAAATTGACAGCATCTTTTCAAGTTAGCAAATTAGATTTAATTGAACGAGTTGTGAATGATTATATTTCCACGATTTAAGCACGACTCCACTGACAGTTTTTTTTTGTGTAAAAATATTGATTTAAGCAAAGTTTATGCGGCCTGCATATGAGTCGACTAGTTGCAACCGCAAGTCCTACTTCGGTGAGATTGTGATAGTTTTATTAATTTTTCTGTGGACGCATACCAGCTGAAGTTAGCTAAAATCTATTACAGTGAGGACGTTCGGCGAGACGGACAGCATATCTGCTATCTTGCCTAGCTTAAAAACGTTGGTATTGATGGGTCAAATTTTTGGCTTTTTGGCAAAAATACACTGGCACAGTTATGGTGGTCATATCGTTTTTAGGTCTGGCAAGACATGAAGAGAATATTCACAGACCGGCTCTCTGAGATTGTGGGCAAAGATAATTAAAAATATTTGTAATAAAATGTTTCGTAATTATTTCCTTGTTTTATTAATATTCGTTTGTGATATTACTTATACCTATTTACCTAATTTAAAGTAAATAAAGACTCCGGGATAGAATTCGATGCGCTTTGGCACAGATAATCATGACTATAGTAGCTTTTAAACAAATGTAGTTTAAGCCGTGGCGGACGTGGGTGCAGCGTTCATACATTTTTGCCCAAAGTCGTTTAATTTAATGAGTCTAAATATTTTTGCCCAATAAAAAAATACTATATTTTGAATAGTGAAGTATGTACTTAAGATTGCTCGAAACAGAACAACTCATTTGGTAAATAAATAAAATACTAAAGTTCCGAATGATGGTAATAAAATAAGGAATAATGTCATAATTACGCATTTCATTGTCACAATTCGTATGACAAAAGGTCGTATCGGTCGTCGGTTCGTAAATAAAGAAAAATAATGACAAGGACATCGTAAAAATAATCACGGAAATAATGAAACTTTATTAGTGAAGCTTTTTATTTCGTTAACACTTTCTATAACAATACATAGTTTAAGATCTTTGATGCAGCCGTCCAGTCCCTCATAGTCCAAAGATGGCGGATGAGGAATATCCGGTAGGTGACCATGATTTGTGTAAAAAAATAAATATTTTCTACAAAAAAGTTTTAGATAGATAAACTTTGCTTAAAACAATATTTTTACACAAAAAAAACTGTCAGTGAAGTCGTGCATAAATCGTAAAGATATAATCATTCACAACTAGTTCAATTAAATCTAATTTGCTAACTTGAAAAGATGCAGTCAATTTTACTGTGGAACTACCTTGGGGGAATACTCTTGCGATTACAGAAAAAATATTGAATCCGGCTCTAAATTGACGTAGCAGTTGCGTAACAAAAAAATAATACAGTCAAATTGAGAATCTCCTTCTTTTTGAAGTCAGTTGAAATCTTGGGATGTGTTGAATGTGTGTATTTTATTTTTACGAGGCGCAGCATATTACCCCACCCCACCTGATGTTTAATGTAAGTGGAGAACAGTCGGGAAGATATATGATGCGGCAGAAAAAGTGCCGCTTCAGCCATGGTCACCTCGCATGCTCGAAGCCAATCCTCTGCCCCGCAGAGCCCTGGAACCCTACTCACTAGCAGAAACACAACACCACTATTATTATAGTAGTAGTAGTAGTGTTATTTTACTGTGGTCTGCTGTCAGGTGGAGACTGCTTCCCCAGATGGTCGCTCCAATAGGCTATTTGACAATATGAAAAATAATGTACCAATTGTTGGAATCAGTATTTAATATGAATATTAGCAGCGATTTTACAATTCTAAAGGCTCAAATAATTAATAACCTTTTCATAAAAGCATTAAATGGAAATTATATTTCTGCTCCATGGTCACGTGAACGAAAATGCCTGGGATTGGCCAAGAATAAAATGACGCCACACGCTAGTATACTTCCCAAATAGGCCAAAGTGGACATTACATTGTATCGTTTGACGTTTTAAAGAACAGTCGTGTGACGTCACACACTAGTGAGACGCCATAATGTTCAGAGAAACATTTTCGCGGCAACTTGAGAATTGAATTTTTAATTTAGTACTTTTACTGAATTAGACAACAGAATTAAAAATATCCACTTCTTATGGACTCCACTAACAATAGTAAATAACGTGAGATAGTTTTCTAAAACTTGATAAATATCCTATTCGAGCAGAGAACTCGCTGTGCCCTACCACTCTTAAATATGTATATGGCTGACAAAATGTTCAGCTCACTCGAAGTCATTCTCACTTCCCACTAAGCGAATCTTTTTTACTTTGTATTATAATATTTAACACGTTAAGGTCACAAATGAAATAAAATCGCTTTGTGCCCTGCGGTAGACAAGGTTACATCACTATATTGTGGCAGTGGGCAAAAAGTACCCATTCGTGATAAAAGGTTTTTTACATATAACAACAGCCATCTCAATGTCAAAAGCAAATTCAATATACTTAGATTTTTCTTGAATCGAAACATGGTTTTATAGAGAAGAAAAATATTTTTTTCATTTCTTCTCACTGTAGGATTTTTTTCTAGTAATACTATGTTTTTTAGATTTAAACATGTTTAACAAAATTAAAAATATTTACTCGATCTTATTTTATATATGCAGTATTTTATAGTAAGCATTTATTAAAGTAAAAAGTTTCTAATGCCTGTTTTCACCATCGATCCAAGAAGAATAATGAATTTCGTTGCATCAATCTTAAAGCAATTCCTACTAAGGTACGCCTACCTACTTATTCAAGTAAAAGTTGTTTCGGTACTTATATTTACTGACAATAATATATTATCTGTGAAAATATGCTTCTTAATAAACAAATAATAAATATTTCTAACATTCACACCAATTAGCCTAGCCCAAAAGTAAGAACCCAGGACCTCTGAGTAGGCAACACCTTGAAACCATACAT